CATCAGGTGTCACGAGTTAGCACACATGTTAAACTGAACAGTAATCTCTCTTTGGGATATTTTTTTTCTCAAGCCAAAAGGAGACAGATGAAGGAAAATCAAGGAACAACGTTGTCACAGCTGTGATTACAGTGGAGAAAAAACATTCCCAAACTGGATTTAAACTAATGAAACTGGGCATTACCCTCTTCAAGTTTGTGTCCATCTTGCATTTCACAGCTTGTACCTAAAAATACTGCAGTAAAATGATTGGCATTTCCAGAACTACTTAATTTAAAGCTACTTCAGATAGGTCTTTTCTATGGTCACCACTATAAGGACTGTAGTGGACTCATAAGCAGAGGAAGATAGAATACATTTGTTTTCTAAGTAAAATAATCTACTCTATCATTTTAGACCCATCTCTTGGACCAAGATAACAACTATTACTCTTGCATTTCACTGCCGCAGAGCTGATTTGGATGCAGTGGATAATGAAAGAGAACTACCACCATGAAACAACATAATCAAAATCATGCCCTTTTTCAGGTGGAGGCAAATAAAACATCCATCATATTGGGCCTCACATTTATATCATTTTATGTGATTTAAAGTCAAGGTGGTAGATGAACAATGACTGAAATTTTGGGGGGTTTTGTGTGACCAGATTCAAACCTACCTGAACAATGAAATCAAGTGATTTTATGTGCACATAGCTTTAGTGGGAGTCTTTATTAAATATAAAATTAATATAAACATTAAATTATACAAAACACTAGATATTAAGATAAACACAAAAATGGTAATATAAACATTAAAATACATATTTACAACATTGCATGCATATTTTTTTAGCATAATCTGATTTCTATCATATGGTGTTAAATAAAAAAAAAAATGCATGTCACTTCAATTTTGAACATGTCTATACTTTCCAAGAGCGATTCTTAGAGAATTGCAAGAGGTTAGGTCTAAGGTCACATGGACCTCCAACAGTGGATTTCTTTAAGGTATGAAAGAGAGATCTCAGAATTGCAAGTAATAAATATGATTTTGATAAGCACTTCTACACAGGAAAATAAGAAATTCCTAAAAAGTTTCCTGTGAAGCACCTTCCTCTTCATGTCCTGTATTACTCCATACTTATAAATAATAAAGAAGGAGACTGATAACAGTAGCTTTATGTAAGCAAGCTTAGAAATCACGCTCAGATAAGTGCTTTTGACCTAAATCTTGTAGCGCCTCGATCTGACATATAACCCCACAACTGTGAAATTCTGTATGAGATTTAGCAGTTTGAAGCTGCCAACTGACCCAGCCATAAAGCAGCCAGAGATAAGGATTTACGGTACGATATGATACAATTAGACATTCACCTCCTATTTATTTCAGTCCATTTCAGTATTTAACCTATTTAAAAGTTGCAAGCTTTTTATTAAAATGTAAATGCTAGTGTGCTGTATACTCATAGGTAGCTAACAACAACAAGAAAAGACTCTCATAAATTAGATTCCTATGAATGAAAAGGGTAAACAGGAGGTGCTTCTGCAAAACTCTTCTAGACATGCAGAGATAAAGGATGGCTCTTCCACACAAAATAATCAGATACAAAAATAGCTGTTCAGAAACAGCACACCTAAGGAGTACTTTAATCAAACATTTAGGTTACCTGCCAAAAGGACCATGATCTCTTCAAAATGCAATGCGGATTAAAGTGTTATCTAACACGAGCAGAAAACTAACCTTGGAGTGGAAGTTCGAAATGTGTTCATCATAATTTTCATGTCTTTGGATAGAGAAACCAGCTTTTTCAGCTAGATTGCAAAACTGGTTTAAAGTATTCCCTCGGCGTGGAGCAAATACCATTGCTTTTCCCTGGAACATTAAAAAGAGAACTTATACATTTTTAAAACTGGAAGGGAACCAGATATAACATACACCTGACTAAGCTGTTAATATGCTTAAGCTGGAAAAGTCAATTGTTCTCTTGGTAAAATACTAAAATATGGTAACAAGTATTTGTTCAAAATATGCAAGATTTCTGTGATTAAACAAATGTAATCTAGAAAGTAATAAATAAATATTTCCTTTAGAAAACTCCCAACTGCCTCTTTTCATATAATAATGATGTCTGTGGATTACCAAAATAAAACAGAAAAAGCATACAAAACATACACTCAATGAAAAATCCATTTGTTAGCTCATGACGACACAAAGACTGTAAATAATTATTTTCTTTTTTCTCTCTCACACATAGAAGACTACCTCCCATTCACTGTCAGTGGAATTACAACAGTATAAAATAAGGCAAATGGGAGGCCAATCAGACCTGATCATTAATTTTTCAAAGATATTTTAAACTACCTGAGCAGTGCAACTAAATTTGACCTTTAAGTGGTAAATTGCATTTAAAGCAGGAATTAATGTTCTTGAATACTAATTCAGGTTCTTGCAAGATGATCAGGCCATTTATGATGCCCAGGCAACATATTATGGTCCATTACCTAATTTTTTGTTCATCCTTCTGTATTTAAGAAAACAAAAATGACTGTACCTTGAACCCATATATATTTTAGACACACTGTGCAAAAGTACTTGCCCAAAACCTAACCTACTTGATAGAGCAACTCTCAAAATCTTATTTGCAAAAATAATTAATTCTAATTGGCTGGATTCTGTGTTCTGTCACATGGAAAGAAAAGTGGTTAAAGAGCTGTAAACAAAGGTTAATATCAGCAAACAGCATATCACACTGAGGGGAGCCACAAAGTTTACTGTGAGTTCCTGTATTTAACTTTTATGTTAATGAGAGCTAAGACTAATTTGTGAGGTGCTGTAATCAACTGAAAAGACAAAAAATGTTTTTAGGGAACTAAAAAAGTTATAAAAGGATTAGATGCTGTAGAAGTATATTTAGTTTGAGAAAATGTAATCTGTATACCACAGGAAAAGGGTGATCAGTACGGAGAATTTCAATAGGAATTCAGGACAGTTACAACACTGACACAGATACTTAGAGAGAAGAATAGAAAACAAATCTGTGTCTCACACATGCATATGTACACCAAAATAATGCACAGTGAAACAGCAATAAAAACGCTACATCAATACATACCGTACCAATGTGTACTTAAAAGATTCCAACCATTAATACCACAGCACTATATTTATTCTCACAACATCTCTCTGTGAGATAGGGAAGTACTGTTATCCTCATCTTTCTCACGGGAAATTTAAGCACAAAGGAGATTCATGGCAATATCTAAAGCAACTCAACTTCTGTTCATTTATGTAGCTGTAACTTTAACTCTATGGCTAAATATGAGGTGCAAAGGGGTGTAACTCTTGTTGAAGGCACTGGAATTGCTTATGTAAATGCTAGGTCTGAATATAGGCTCAGCTCAGGATGAAAAACATTAAACACAGGAAATTCACATTCGGTTCCCTCATATCCCTAGCATGCTTTAATGTCATCAAACAGAAGTGGGCAGCAAAGGGAGCCTTCAGCTGAGAAACCTCCTCCTCCTGCTGCCATCTCACGCTTCCCAGAATGTTGTTCTGCAGAGACTCTTCCTGGCATAAGAAGGATGAGACTTCTCTGAGTCCCTCATCCCTATGATCACTGTAATGATCACATGTCCTTCACCCAGGGCTTACTGACTACATGATTCATGGGGACCTCAGATATGACTAAACCTCATGAAAGGAGGCTACAGACTCTACAATGGTCACTGATCCAGCAGTTCTGATGAGGAAGCAGTGCTCAGACAGTAGCACACCTTCATATTTGGAGTCAACAGTCCATGTGGTCATTCCTTCTCATGTTTTCTGTAGACTACTTCCAATTAAATTTGAAAGAGAAATACAGTAAAATAGAATGTACAAAATATCCATATGAAATATCTCTTAAACCCAGAGAGAAAATCTAGAAATAACTTCAAAAAAGGGGAATGGTCTTTTATGGAAATCACTACACAGTTACTTTTGGTCAGCTCCTTAGTTAGTGTAAAAACCCATTCATCTGTTGACTTTAGTGTGCATCTGAAATACTTGAGGCTCTTGCCCTCACTGATAAAAAACTTGGTTAAAGTTTAATACCACAATAATCTCAAAACTGGTGTTCAATTCTGGTCTATATTAATCTGAGTTGAAAAACTTTTTTGTCAACTGCCTGATCTCTGTGATTCTGCTACAGAATCATTCACATTTCACATTCACATAGGGCTTAATTCGCATTTCCAATTATAAAAGAAATGTGAATTTCATGTGTGTTTTTCATTTCTTGGTTACTGTACAATAAAAAAAGTAGACCACTGTCCTGGTTCTATTCTTCACTGACTATCCCAAGTTTAATTCTAATTCAAAAGTATCTCCTGGGATAATGTTTAAAGGATGAGGTTTAAAGTTCAAAATGGCCTTTCCTCAGCAGGGAAAATATTTCCATTAAATTTGGGAACAAAATTCAGAGCAAAATGTCAGTTATAATAGTTTGAAGGGTCAGTAAAATGCTACAATAAACAATGGGACAAGCGTTAATATTTTGGATTTGACTATGACCAAGTTTACTCATCATCATCATTAAATGCAGTCTTACTTGCTGATACTAATCACAGCTCAACAGTATCCCATTGACTTCACTGGGATTTTGAATGGATAGGCCTCAGAAGAATCAAAGCCTTGACAAAAAACTGTTCTTAATCAGGGAAATATGCAAAAAAAAAAAAGGTTATTCTGAGATTGAAATTTAAAGAATATTTTAATGATATAAAAAATAAAACTAAATGTTGGCATATCAATTCAAGTAGCTTTAGAGAAATAAAATACAGCCATTCAAGGTAAATTTGTTTGATGTAGAATTTCCATGCCTAATTCTTTGAATTGGTTTACAGGTGACATCTGCCTCTGTGACAAATTTAGATAGAAATTTCAGCCCTCAGTAACTCTGTGAACTGCTTATTTCTGCCTCTGTGAATTTTTGGTCCTGTCTTCCTATGCCAATACAATTGTCCATGGGGTCAATACTATGAATCAGATGACTGAAATAACCAGTCCTGTGCCAAGGCAACCAAAAAAGTTACCCAAAACACATCAGGAGGATGTGCCATAAGGATTCTAATAGCCACAAACAACATCCTTAATGAAAAAGGAAATACCACAGATGAATTTTAAACTAGCAGTAAGAATAGATTATATGTTCTGAATTTCTTCAAGAAATTTTTGCAAGGATACCTGTAATTTTCTGTTTACTCCACTTTTTCCTATGGTATTGTTGGTTATTATTTTCCCCAGACTCTTCTAAACCAAAAAGGAAATGCAACTTCTAAATTTGAGACAAAATACTTAATGTAGAAGAGTGAACTTAATCGAAGAAGTTTATGCCTTAGCTTGGGCATAAACTAATGCCCATAAGCTATTCTTAATTATTGCAACTGGTAAATGAGTTCACTATTAATTTATTTTTCCTTTAAAAGCCCAAGTATAGTGTCATTTAGTAAAGTGTCCTCTGGTGTTATCCTTAGATTTATACAAGTTAACAAGAACAGTAAAATTGATAACTATTTTGTACTTGTGACTGTATTTTCTTTTGGGATCTCAAATGAGTATACGCTTTTATTTGGGTCTTTCAAACCACGAAAGCATATGCTTGAAGGCATCTCTGTTGAACATGTAATTTTTGGACAAAAGAGCTCATTTAAGGTGCCTGTACTCCCAACTTCTACCCCACAGTTTGCTGTCCTCTTAGTTATGAATTACAGTAATTTGCAAGGCCATGCCATAAATGGATATCCATCCATATAGCCATTCATAAAGTGGATTAGGCAACTGAGTTTAGTTAAAAATACAGTTTGGATAGTGGTCCAAAACTCTGCAACAGAAATTCCTGCAAGGAGCAAGAATTTCTTAAGCTAGTTTTGCTGATAAGAAATAGGAACCATGGCCTAAAATGCACAGCAAATAAATGCTATGCTATTAATACAGGCTATGCTATTAATCGCAACGTGCTGAAGCAAGCAAGACTAGGAAGAAAGGCAACAAAAAGCCATCTCCCTTTACTCCACCTACATTCATACAGACTGTAGCTCATATGCCCTGAAAAACAAAGGCTTGTAATGAATTTGAATAAACTGACTGGAGTTAAAAAGAAAAAGTCAGGCCAGTTTTAGTTTAAATTCAGGTTAACAATTCCTAAATTATCTAGATTGTTGCCTAGATGGCAACACTACTTAAAATTCAGGCCACCTTGCCTTTTAAATCAAATTCTCTGGTTGGCTAATCAGCCCAGCTAAAGAATGTGTGTCTGTGTATGCATATACAGACATACGTGTATATGTGTTTTTGGCACTACAGAGCACCAGACCATGTTTAACTATAAGCAGGAGAGAAAGCAACTAACAGTTCTTCTTCCACTCCAGCCAGAGGCTCCAACCAGGTTACCAGTTACCAGTGCATCTCTTCTACACTTTTCTTGCCACTCATGCTTTTCTTCCCTGGTGTTCTTCCATGGAGCCAGTACAGTGGCCTATGGGAATACCTGAAGAACCAGTTTCTAACATGGATCTGGTCTGAAAAAAAAATCTTTTTGTATTTTTTTTAACTGGGATCAACTTTGTGTTCCAGATCACCTGTGGTTCCAAAAATTATTGCACTTGGACAAACATTGGTACATCATAAAATTCAGAACGCGTCACTCTGGGCAGGAGCTGCTTAACCTTTCCTTATTGCCATTGACAGAAATATCTGGGTAACCTTTTCCTCAGGGTGGCTACTGTCTCCTGTCTTCCTGGCAGCTTTGCCCCACAGCTCATTAAAATAATTCAGTCTTAAGTAACTTGCCTTAGGTCACTCAGGAAAGTCTATGATAGAACCAAGAATAGAAACCTGATCACTCTAAGCAAAGAATGGGATTACTAACATTACTAAAATGACTCAGTTTCTTAAGCCTTTGCATGTTTGGGTCTTCTATTTCTTTTACAGAGAAAATCTCTTGTACAAAAAGTACAATACAAATTTTAAATAAAATTTGGAGAATGCATTGCTAGCAAGAAATACTTTTGTTTTGAAATGGAAAGTTTACTTTACTGGAAGATTTGGATGTTAACCATGAGGGAGAAAATTCCTGTCTCAAACTCCTACTTAGACCAATTACTTCATGTTTTCTCCTTTTCTCGTTTTGCTGTCTTCCATTTTTTTTGAGATTTGAGATTATAGATATAATATATATATTTTATATATGCATATACCAGATTTTTTTTTGCCTGTAGGTCTCTCTGATTTAAACAAACTAACAGATTTAGATCAATAAAATATTTCCTGAGTGACACTCGTAGAACATATAATCATTTTATGAAGAGCACAATTTCACTATTTTCTAAGGTATAAAACATGTAAACACAGAGCTTACTCAATGGAAAAATATTTTAAGCCACAGTATATGTATAAGGGTTTTTTTCATTTAAATAAACATAAATGAAAAGAAAAAATATTCTTTCAGAATAAATAAATACACAATGACAAAGGTTACAATTGAAGGGATTAAAAATGACAGAAGCCAACATAAAAACTTTCAATACTGTATTTTACTTTAATATGAAGACATTATTATCAAAGGAAAATACTTGAGAAACGCTTTGATAAAAATAATCTGACGCTATCTTTGAAGCGGTTTCATTTATTTTACTACCCACTGTGTTCCTTATCAGAAGGCCAAGTATAAGAAGTTTCCTAGTTTATGATTAGGAAAGAATCTGATAGATTAGAAGACTCAATTGAAGTTGGACATAATAAGTATTAAAGTATTACATGACATTAATCCTGCCATTCCATTACTCTCTCAATCATTGTGCACAGACTAATTATTCTGAAGCCAGTGTTCAGGAGAAAATAGAAACATACTTACACTGGGTTGGAGTAATCTCTTTATTGCATCAACAAGGCTAGCTCTGTACCGGTCCAGAAACAGGCTGACATTGAGAAGAGAACAGAATCCAGATTAAAATGGGTTTTCAATTCTAATGATACTAATGCAGATAAGTACAAGGCTAATTACATATGTTTACACAATGCTGTAAAAGAGAAACTGTGGTTTATATTTCGATCCAGTGCAGGCTCTTTTAACATTAGAAATACATAACATGAAATACAATCTAAACCAAAGCTAAATTAACAGCATGAAACTGCTCTTTATATAGCTGAAATTCACTGATCATACATGCTAGCTATTAAAATAGTACTGTATCAGAAATGAGGATCAATATAAAAAGTTAGCATTTTACATGGTTTTTTATACAAGGGGACTGGAAGTTTTTAAAAGTGTTTTCTATTGTATTTCAGGTGTTACTATTAAGGCTATTTTTTTTCCTTTTACCTTCACAGTTTTGGCATTAATTCTTACTTATTATGCATATTTGTTATATTTATATATCTATCTCTATCTATCCCCATAAAGATTTACAGGATCTTACCCTCTCTCTCTCTCAAACACTGTTCAAATACAATGGCCCAGATTGTACAGAGTTGTCATCTCTCAAGAGTGCAATCCTTCATCTCCAGCATGGGTCCCGCAAGGATAGCAGCAGAGTCAATTTTCCCATGCAATGTTGCCAACACGGTCAGCCCTATTTTGGCGTGATTACCTCATGATTTGAGGGGATAATTCATTCTTCATGCCCCTCAGTACCTTAATGTATATACTAATAGTGGCAACCAGGGTGCCAATCACTCTTGACTAGATATTTGTGGACATGTAGTTACTGTGGATGAGTGCATTTACAATGGTTAGTGAACAACCATCTGATAGCAACCGATGCCTTTCAGTCCTTACTACTGTGGGCTGCATTTATATTGGTGATTCAGATAAGAAACTCTATCAAGCAGGCCACAGATAATGTGATTTTTTTTTTCTTCTTTTTTTCTTCCCCCACATTTTCTCTGTAATAAAACTGCTTCCCAGCTTGTATCAAGTTCAAGTTTAACACTACATGGCATTTTGTCCATTCTCTAAGGTTTTTTCCCTATACTCCCCTTCCCTTTATGCTCAAACTTCTTTTCTGAAAAGATGTAGGTAATTTTTTTTTCCAGGTTAGAAATTCTAAAAGAACATGAAGAATATATGGAAACTCTGAAGAGAAAGAAAGTAATCTGCCAACAACAGCCCTCTCATCAAGAACAGATGATGTGTGGGTATTTAGACACTCCACAGCTACCAAGGAGAATATAATATTACATATCATAGAGTCAAGTAGCTGTGTAAGAGCTGTGAATTTTTGCTACTGGGGAATAAACAAACAAACAAGTCTATAAGAAAACTTTACGCGACCAAATTTCATCCGTAAAAACTGGCAGAACCCCATATTGTTGAGAAAATATGGTAGAATGGGTATCCACACACATCTTAAAGAACATTTAATAGAGAAGTATGACCTTCTGAATTTCTTCTCAAGAATATGAAGTACTAGCTATCAGCTTCTCTGATAGCCTGGCTCACAAGAAAATTTAAACTTGTGCAATTGGCATGATGGCTACCCCTCAGCCTTGATTCTGATGTCTCTTGGGTGTTTTAATGACATTCACCTCAGGTTGATCCCTATACAGATAGATGTCCTAAGACACTACTTCACTGGGAACTTAACCACCCGCAGAAGAAGTGGAATACATGATTACTCTCCCGAAAGAATAGTTAAAAGTAATTAATTTTCTTCCACATCATCACAAGTACTCACACATTTAAGACTTCCTGGGATCCTGTGTAAACAGAAGTACATTCCAAATGAAAAGTGCATTTATACTATTTTTATTATTGAAAGCAGTGTAGTGGAAACACAATCTTGGGGCAGCTTACCAGTGTTAAAATCTCTTTTTCATGGACCTGAATACCATTCTCTCTTCTTACAATGAGATAGGGGCACAACTGCTGCTACCAATCTTGTTCCTTCACAATGAGAACTACAGGCCTTTGTCCACCAAAACTGTGAACTGAGTGTGTGAGAACTCTAAAGGGTTACATGACCTGCTAGATTAGACAACTTCAATAATACCTTTTCTGTCCAACCCCAGCTGACATTTTGGTGGTATGGGAGGTAGACTCTTAGCCCTCTTACCTTAGGAAACCCAGATAACCTGAGACAGTTGCCCCAAGTTGTCCCTACCCTCCAAAAGGCCTGTCCCTGGGACACAACCTACTTAATTGAACACAGTTTGATATTGTGATTTCCAAACTGTTGCTCTGTGAGCCATGCACTCTGACCAGAAGGAGCAGAGAAGACTGGAAGCAGTGTTAATGCAATGCAGTGACTCCAGGAAACATCTCTATCCTCCACCTGAGTCAGGGGATGCTTTGAATGAGGAAAATCCTGAAGAAGTTATTAGATAATCTATGCTGCAGACAGGAACAGCACAGGATTTGGCCCACACAAGGGGATTTAGTCACGCAATTTCTCTTACCAGTAGAATTTGTATGACTAATTATTACCACAGCCTACTGAAAATGTACCCAAAAGCATCCTTCGAAGCTCACAGTACACATGTTCCTGTGTAAACTGCTCTAAGTGACCCTGCCTTGGCAGGGGTGTTGGACGATGGTCTCCAGAGGTCACTTCCAACCCTAACAATTCTGTGATTCTGTGAACCACTAAGCAAAATTAGATAATGTATTGTTCCAAACCATTCACACTCAGCTCTCACACCTCAGTTCAAATTTGGCTTAGCTTGCCATTACTTTAGTGGTAATATCTCATGTTTATGTAGTGAGGACACTGTGAAAGCAGTAGCTCAGGACAGGAATAGCAAGGTTTTCTTGGGTCAGCAAGGAAGTTTTGAATGACAGTAGTAGAGAGGTGAGAACACAGCTGATGATTTGGTCTTTGTTTAGGCAATGCTCTTAACCTGTGAAATCTTGATGAACAGGCAGGCAACCTTGTCACCTCTCTTCCCTCTTATTTTTTTTTTTTTTTACATTTTAAATTACCATAAAAAAAAAAGAAAGTTTATACCAAAACTGTACAGAAGTAACAGTAAGCCACAAGGAAACAAATAAAAAACCCAAGTAGATTCTCAGTTTGCTTCATGGTGATATTTGTTTTATGCTGAACTTATTTTTCTTTTTGCATGCTTTGCAATTGTTAAAAGACCTGGGTTTACAGGTGTACTTCAGACACTATTAAATGTGTAGTGTTTAATGTGCAGAGTCATTTATCCTTTTGTTCGCCTTCAACTACATGGGTGATACAAATTGAAAAAAACCCTTACTTCCATGTGGTCAGGTTCCAATGCACTTGAAAGAGTGTGCAAGAAATCAGGCCTAAAAGGAATAATAAGTTTAAATGGAAGAAGGACAGAGGCCTTACTGCATTCTGGCACTAAACTAATAGAGACAAAATAAGGTATTTTAAGGTATTTAAAGAATACTTTCAGTTCAGTTCTACATTCCTGGCGAAGACATAACTCCCCATGACTTCAGCAAAAATCTCAGCAGTGAAAGTAATGTGGGATAGCTCCCCCTGGCCTCTGTCGTGTGAACACTTATGCATGTGCCAAACTTTAAGAATAGAATCATTGTAAGTAAATAATAAATATTATGCATTTCCAACAATATGGGGGTATAAACCTTATACCACCCCTACATTAAATTATTTGTGAAAACTTGTTTTACAATAAAGTAAAAGATAAAGATTTTTTTATTGTCTCAGTCCTACTGGCTTTGACTCTCTCTTTGGATTAAAAATCTCAGAAATTTTTTTCTCAATAAAGGAAAGTACATACACTATTTTAATAATCAGAAATTTGAGGCTCACAAGAACTGTGGAAGAGTCTTTGTTTTGGCCAGTCAATAGAGGCATCTGTTATTTCGCCTCTTCTATTCATACTCACAATTCCAGCACCTGTATGACTTTATATCCACAAGTGTAGGTCAAATGAAAGTCAAAAATTCTGGGAGCCCTCACCTGGCCTTAAAATTCCCCCTCAAAAATATGAGATGGGTGGATATGCTTTAAAGATTCTGTTATTTCAGTATTTTTTCACTGTATCCTCCTTCCAGGTGTAGCCTCACCAAGATTTTTTTTCTTATTATTTTTATCTCATAGTTGACATTTTACAATTTTACAAATTATTTCGGACCTGCTGAACCATGAAACTATTTTTATTGTCAAAATCCTGAATGGTTAAATAATGGCTAGCTTTCACAGTTTGCCTCTTATTTATTTTATAATCTAGTTGAGCTACTAAATTTAGCTGTTAACTAATAGACTGTTTGTTCTGGGAAATAACTTATTTTCCACTCCTGCACACAAGGTTTATGAAAGTCTGACTGTAAATATATGAATATAAACATATCCCTGCTTGCTGTAATCATGTACATTTTTCCTTGAATCTCCATGTGGATTTGGAATATGTTTATGAATAGAGCTTGTTTTCATGTAAATGGGATCAAGCAGTACCACTGGTTAGCTATTCAGAGAATCAGACAATATCACCCTTGCTGGAAATACTTCAATAAAAATTTATCCATGTACCTAATATTCGAACTCCGATTTTTTGCTTTTTAGTTCTCTGTTCTAATCTCAGATTTTATTGACTGACAGTGAGTTATATGATGGTGTTAAACTAAATGCAATCTATTCTATCTGTTTTTATCACTGCATACTTCAGGTTTCAGCCGAGGAGCTAGAAGAAAAGGGATTTTTCTTTTTCCTCTTCAATGGCAGCCCAAAAAATTCAGAGAGTAAAAATCCTGCCAACTGTTCTCAAACCGATTCTATATCTCGGAAGAGAAGTACATGAAAATGAAAAGATGATTTGAGTTTGATAAAGCATGGAACATTTCTTTCCCCAGCCTTTTCATGTACCAGAAAACCTAGTGTCCATAACTAAAAGAATGATTTCTAAAAGAAACAAACAATGAAGGGATTTTCATGCTTATTAAACTATATATATATGGGCACCTGCAATAAGAAAATGCAGATAATTTGTGAATAAAACCAAATACTTTAAGCGAACCTGCACATTTCTATTTATTTTTTAGAAATCTATAAATATTTATACACTTACCTGCATCTTAAGTGCTTCAAAATATATGTACAAAATGCAGGGATTGCAAATGCATTATGTATTTTACCTGTCATGTTTGATTCTTTGTTTCCTAAAGAAACTACACTATTTCCAAACAGACTGGGAGGAGTATTAGGCACGAATATTACTGAAAAAAACAACTTAAGTCTTGCTCCACTCTGCTGTACTCCCAGCACAAATAGGATGACATGGTGTGAGTATCAAGAATACAAGAGAAGGCACAGCCAGGTTGTTTTGATATTTGTGTGAAGAACAAATTTAACTCTAAATCTCTTGGCAAGACCTTGCTTCACCCACATAATCTGGAGAACATCCATATGTGAGCCTTGTCTAAGCCTCCGAGAAGACTGCTGCCCTCCTGCTCATGTCCGCCAGCACTCTGATCTGACTTTCATACTTAATCTGATCTAATCCTGTCCAGCATTAACTTCATCTGTGCAATGAAACCTGGAGTATCCATTCTAATATTTGGTGAGGAAGGCATTTACTAAATTACTTGCTGAAATCATATGGTGTTGTTTAGCTCCTTATTTTAATCAGATGATGCATCTCTGAGGCACATTATCAGCGATTAGTTAGAAACCCTCCTCTGTCCTTTTTGGGAACAAAGAACTTTTCAGAAATTAAATGCTAAGAGAAACAAAGCACTGTTGCATTCTGTCAACAAATAGGTATTAGAAAATGGCAAAAAGATCACTAAATACACTTTCTCCAGTGCTATACAAAACCAATAACTTTTCTGAAATAAGAAGAGTTTGAAAAATATGAAAGGGAAAAAAAAAGCTTTAGGGGAATATTTTATAAGAAGCCACTTGAAAAAGAACATTGTTTAAAAAGACAATAGACAGCTTCATACTTCTCTTTGCTTTTTCCTTTAACTATTTTTTAATAAGGTACAGAAATTTGCTGAACTGAGCTGTCCTAGCAAGACCGTTTTTTCAGAATTTGGTCTCTCACAACAGTTACGTGTCACAAAACATAAACAGCTCTTTTTCTGTTGTAGACATTTAAAGGGTCAAGAGCAAATATCCATGAAGGGAAAACAGATTTGTTTAAAAATATCTACTCTCCTAAATAAAATTTGCACAGCTCTTTTTTTTACACTGTCTACATTTTTATAACACAAATTATTAATAATGTACCATTTTTAAAGCTAGCACACAGCAAATATAGCACAGCACAATCCTGCAAATGCAGTATCAGAAAAGGGTTGTGTCAATAATCAAATCTATTTGCATAAATTATTAAACAATCCACCATAGTGCAACATGTATCTACCTTTTCATAAATTAAGTGCAGTACTCTTATTTTCCTTACTATGAATTATCTTATAATTAACATATTCCTGTGTAAATAATATAAAGCCTATATCTACAAATATTGATGCCAAATTGATTTAAGGAACAGAATGTGGTGGTGGGGAAAAAGGTTTGAAAATCTCTTTTTCCTTGGAAAGACATTCCAGGGAGCAAAAAATATATCCCCTTATATCAATAGTCAGATCTTTCCTAAGAAGTAAGCTAATTGAGCTGTTTGTGTTGATAAACTCCCTTTTCTCCAGACTGTTCCTCACTGAGCCATAATTATTTGCAATTTGCCTAAGTCGTCCATTTACTGATACGTCAAGCATGAAACAGAGGCAATTCCAGAAAATGGAAATGCTTCTCAAAATCAATCTTTGGGAAATAATGTGGTAGAAGTTACTGTGTGATAGAAGACTACCTTATAACTGTCACATGGAGATGAATATTAATTTGTTGAGGTTAAGGTGGCTTTGTGCTTCATTTGTTGACTTTGCTTAGCCATCAGCAAGCAGCACAGTACAATTACTCCAGCAAAGCTATTTTTCTAACATGAGTTTTATGATTTTTATGTACTTACCAGTCAGCACACATAACAATGTCAAAATGTCCTTCCAGTTGAGAGACATCTGTCTCATTATCCCATCGTAAAATGCTAGAGGAAAAAAAAGATTTAAAATAAAAAGAAAAAAGGACTTACATTTTTCATCTTGAGATTTTTAAAGTACTAATATTATTCTTATGTGACACTGAAGTGTTTTAAAAAGTGCACACTCGTTACCGTCAAAGATGAATGTAAAAATCTTATTCTGTACATTTTTAAGGTTTTAAATCTCAAAGCTAAAGAGCTATTTTTCATTATAGCAGAAAGGCAATCCACACAGGTTCTGATGAGTGTATCACCAACAAATATGCCTTTCTGAATTAGTGGCACATGCCCAGCTTCAGATTTTTACCCCTTAACACTACTACACAAACAAGTGAAGTCAAAGTATTGACAATCTGAATGAAACACAAATCTGCAGAATAGATGTGAATTCATGGATCTCTGTTGCATCTGGCAGGCAAGTCAGTTGTGTTTCTCATTGATGAAGTGAGCATTCACTTGGGCTGAAGGGAGGAGGGACAGGGTGAAAAAATGCCAAGCTTAACTTCAATGCCAGCTATGTTGCCTCAGGCAAGCTTAAAAATACAGCAGTGCTGACTCTGTCAACACCTATTCTCTCATAGGTGATAAGCTATTTAATTCTAAGGTACCCAGTAGTAGGTAAAATTTCACATATGTACAAAGTTCTTTTTTTGGTGATAAATGCTGCTGATTTATGTAGCTGCCACAAAGAATTTCAGTACTTTACTCCCATCTAAAAAATAGCAACTAGTATTGGAATGTACTGCATACTTTAAATATCATTACCCATAAGATTTGAAGCTGCATTTCTATTTCTAGGCTATTTTTAAAAAGGAATCTATCCTTCTTTTTCATTTCCTGGTTATTTATAATAGAAAGTAGATAAATATTTATGGGAAAAGCACTCGTGGGGGAAGGATCTAATCTGATCTTGTCAGGTTGTGCATGCTTATCTCAGTTTTGTATGAGTCTTGACCAAACAGACCCTTTAGTCTTCCCGCAGCTATAATCTACTTCTGGTTAAAAGCCATCTCCATTCACATCCTACTCCTAATATTTAACCGAGGATCAGTTTATAATGTGTTCATTCAGAAATGTTCCCTAAGTATACAGGAAAAAAAGGGAATTTTGTACATTGATTATACTGTATGCAAAAAAGGTTCATAAATATTTAGAGAAATAGATACAGAGAATTAAGGTACCACAATATGCATGTACACATGCACAGACAAAAAAAATTGAGACAGAATGCTTTTAAAACATGGAAATTATGAAAGGAGAGGCCGAGTTGGTTGGCAAAGCTTTGGTTATGTGGGGCTCAATGTAACTGAACAGATCAGGACTCATTAGCCCATTTGCCCTCCTGGAATTTGCTGAGACAATCCAAAGACAGAAAAGAGTAGATTAATTTAATTTTTCCCCCTCAAATTGAAAGTAATCCAGATTTTAGAAGCCTAGGTAGCTTTGCACACTGGCACGCAGCAGGCATCCAGTAGTGGAAAGTGACAAAGGAGAGTTCTCACTCTCAGCTGCTGGCTGCCTGCTGGCTACCAGCAGCTTTTTCAACCCTGTTTCCGTGGAAACTTAGGTTAGAATGGTGAAAATTAGGTAAAGGTAAGTTTTGTGGGTTTAAAGCACGCACTCTAATACTTTAAGAATCCTGAAGCAGAACTGGAAATTGGTAGAAGAACTGTGAGCCTTAAAAGGCCACCTTTGGTTCTCATTGCTACAGAAACAGAGATCTGATCAGTACCACTGTAGAGATTTGAATTATGATTTTTTTAACCCATATATTTACTATACTTCACACATGCAGTTTGGAAGGCAGTATAGGTGCCCCCTCCTGCAAAAAAAAGAAACAAAAAACCCCCCACCAACCCTCCCTTATGTTACTGTCAGTTTTCCGCTGAGTATCCAAAACACAGAGTTTTCTGTGCACACCTACTGTAGGCAAGAAGAGTTTGTGTGGGTAGGTAAAAGCTCATAAACCATGGTGCTGAGCAAAATATGGAACTGACAGGTTGCCAGGACCATGAGCAGTGGTGTAACATGACTGGCACGTGTACTGTTAGGAGTGAGCAAAGGGCCACACATCCTTCTCCATTTCCCTGATCTAGTACCAGGGCTGCTTTTGGTCTCTAGTTTCAGTATAGTAGCTTTCCTGAAGACATCACAATTATGCAAAGGCCAGTGACAATTTACACACAAGATTTTTAAAATCAACTTTGCCATAAATTTTCTAAAAGTACAGAAAAATCTTTATTTCTGTGGCGAAACTGAAGTTAATTTCTATAAAATAAATACCAACAGGACTCATCCTGATAAGCGTGTAAACCTAAAGATCATTTCTCTAAAATAAATACCAGTAGGACTCATCTCACTCAGAATGTATGCACGCTGATGGGAGAGATGGAACTACAAGCTCTATGTATTTAACCTGGCTATCCTTAGCTAAGTGCAAGTATGACCAGTAAGGGAGGTGCAGCCAGGAGATGTTTAGTGCGGTACAGGTTGCAACCTCTAAAACTGTTTCAGTAGCTAACTCTGGACTACTCCATCTATTTAATGCTTCCACAGATTTGCAGGAGCTGCAATTGAACATCTGCACCTGCACCTGTAAAGCAGACATGCCCCCACATATCAGGGAAACAGGATCAATTCTGCTCAGAGTCAACACTATTACATCATTAACACCAAAGTCAGAATCAGCCTGATTCTGAATCAGCTATTTTGAATTCTAGTGCTAGTGAAAGCAGTGAATCATACCAGCCATACAAGTTCTTGTAATCCAAGAACAATTCCTGGGCGTAAAGTACAAAAAACCCCAGTAATATGGCAAAACAACCCTGAAAAAGGCAAAGAGGTGTATCTAAGTGCATGAACCCACATGTAGTAAGGGGGTGGGGAACAATACTTTTTTTACGAATTACTGAGGAGGTGACTCTTGGACTTAGTGGTCAGACCTGAAAGAAACACTGAAGGCACCATGAAGTAAGGACTGATTGCATTTCCATTTAAAGAAAAGCACTGCTAGGAAACCCAGAAAAGTGGCAGCAACAGAAATCTGAAAATCTCAGTTTTTATGAAATTTCCTTTAAAAAAGTAGAAGTGTAAAAATACCACACCAGAAAAAGTGTCTTAAATCGCATGTATCATGTTTACTGCCAATATGAAGAAAATGCAAGCCTTGTTAATATTTTCTTCTTGTTCCTTTCTAGTGATGTTAAAGTAGCTGACATAAACCATTTTCTTTCTCAAGCCACTTTTCTTCCAGCAAAGTAAGTTTTAAAGTTATAATATTTTTATGCCTTTCTTTTGAGGGAAAGTGCTACAGTACTAACAACTGAAATAATTTTGTAATTTTGAAAAAAATGCTTTACTCTCTGTTTCTGTCCAAGCCACACCTTCAATGGCTTTTTTGTAAAAAAAAAACCCAAACAACAAACCAAGATATTTAAGGTTGTATAAAGCTCACTCTTGATATTATTTTGTGCTGGTTTATTTAACTGATGCAGGTTTAGTTTCTTACAATTGAAAATAGGCATCAGAGTTTTAGCAGAAAAGGGTCTGAAACACAGTCTGAAATACAAAACAGTTGGGAGCTCTTTTTGGCTACAGGAAGAACATTAAAAATGAAATAGGATGCAAGGGAAAAACACTACTGCACTATTTAGCTACTGCTTGGGTCAAAGTGATGGTGGTTGAAACTTGGTACCCACAAATGATTGTTTTATGGCCTATATCAAATGAATGTCACCAGTTTTCAGAGGAGAAGTACCCACATCACAAACCTATTACTATAATTAGCAATCTTGATGGTACTCCTAGCAAAAAGGACAAGGACTGAAAGAGCTACGGAGAATGAACTACCCTCTCACAAGCAGAGGTGGCTTTTGCAGGTCAGGGATAAAGTATACTATCAAAATAGGCTGAGAAAAGATGTACTGATGCTTTAGTTTCCTAGGCTGTCAACTTTACCCCACTCTAAAGCAAGAAATTCAGTAAAAAAACCACACACAACACAAAAAATCAAAGCAATTCTTCCTCCCCTCCCCTCCCCCCCAATATATCTTATATTGACAAACAAGTCAGAAAATGTGATTAGATCAAGTTAGAAGAATTATGATACTGGAACAAAAAGATCAAGTAAGAAAATAGAGACTTTAGGAACAAAAATGCACCCCCAAATAGCCCCATGTATTTGAAAGAAAAAAGGCACAAGAAAATAGCAAATGTTGCAGGGATAGTTACAGCAGCCAAGGTTTCCCCTGTACAGTAATTCTAATTTAGGGAGGATAGCCTGACATATGTCGACACTCTTCTCCTTACACCGGTAAAGTATCTCAGCAATCTACAACAAAAGACCTGATTTTACCAGGGTTTTATTTCTCATGCAAAATTCTTCACTACTATTATTATTCAACTTCTGTTATTCAGTGTTTGTCTTCCTAGTGTGTCTAGGCAGGTAACTTCTATGAGAAAAAACAGGTTAAGTCTCTAATTGTTAAAACTTGAAACATTTCCAAGTCGCTCTGAGATGTTCTTGTGATGAATGGCACAGGCTAGAGTAGCTCTCAAATTAGGAGAAAAGTAGTTGTGCAGATAAAGACAAAAAATCAAAATTAGAAGAAAAGGACAAAGGACACAAAAGCCTTACTTGCTTCAAAATGTATTAGTAGTTTTAATAAGGATTAAAAAAATAGTCCAAATTAGCAGATGAGCAGCTAGCAAGAACCCCTATCTACCCACCTCTTCTTTTCATATTTTAATTTAAGATTCAGTCTCTGAAAAGCATTATCATTGGAAAGTATACAGGTTAAGGTAAAAGATTTTGTCTGGGGGTTTATATGACTTTTTCTATGACATTAACCAAGCAAGTTCATTAACACATTAACAAAAGGCATCATCAGGATGTTTCTCCACACCTTGATCTCTTGTTTGAGATTCCTTAGTTTTGTATAAAGATCAAGCAGATGGATTTTAATCTAGCGATAAGAGGCAAAGTGTACACCTATCATTACAATTCC